CTTGAGCGAGCACCTGATGGCTGAAGTTGCAAGAGGCATCTGGCAACCCTGAGGCAGCAAGAAAGAGAGAAATGGTAAGTGAGTCCCTTAAACACTACTAATGGCATTTGCCAAGCCACTGAACAGATACCAATAGCTCCTTCACTACAGACTTCTTACAACAGGAGGAAAAGTAAACCCTTGTGTGTGTAAGCCACTGTCAGCGATAGATAGATAGATAGATAGATAGATAGATAGATAGATAGATAGATAGATAGATGCAGATTTTGTATCTAGGTATATATTTTATTTCCCCCCACATAATAAGCTTGCAGCTAATAAGACATTAAATACCTTCAATCAGCCTGCTGATATTTGAATCAACCCTACTGTCTTTAAGTTGTCAGCTACCTTATGTGTATTTTCTAGAGGCAGGATATTTATTAGTTACTAAAACTTTCCAGACCATTTTGAAGAATTTTGATATTAGGAAGCCTTCTCTTCTCAAAAACTTTCTAAAGTTCCCTCTTTCCCCATGATCAAACATTCCAGATCCTCCATACACTCATTCCACACTGCATCCCATCTCTATTTTTCCTGTGCGGTCCAGGGCATATACTCTATAAAGTCAAGTCAGCCTTCTTCCTAAGGGACATGGCACTGGTAACACAGCAAGCTCATTCTCACTTCTGTGGCTCCTCTCTAACTGCCATTCTTTCCTAAATTACAAGTCCTTTATGTTTGACTCTAAAATGTCACCCATTTTTCAAGGCTAAATAAAGCCCCAATTTTGCTAGGAAATCTTTCCTGGCCACTCCATCTCCCTCTCATCTCCTCCTCTTACTGATGCAGCAAATTGTCACATAGTCTACAAAACATGGTTGAACACTGGATTAATCCCTCTCCTGCTAGTTGTTAATTGTCCCGTATGGGTTTCTTTGGCTCACCTACTAGAAGATAAACTCCTCCAAGCCTAAGACACATTCTTCTTTCCATATTCTCCCCACAACTGCTAATGCAGCCTTACCTTCATCCTCAATAATAATTTGATGGAATTTTTAGGAGATAAAGGCATATAGTTAAGGGAACTAATAAAGACACCTGGAATACACAGAAACACACACACAGGATTTTGTTGTCAAATTAGAGCGCAATTCAACAGAATCCACTAAAATTCCAAATTAGCGTTTGCTGTTATTTTTAAGTATAAAAATGCCTTTCTTTACCTCACCTTTCTTTTTAGGAAAAGGGACTGATAAGTGACCTCTGATTCACTGGTTGTCTGCAGTGGTAACACTTATTCTCCAGCACGAAATAGGAAACTCTTATTATTAAAATATAAAACAAATTTAAATTAATCAAACTCAATTAAAAAAAAATCAGACACAAGACACTCATACCACCATTATATTCAATTCTGAAGTTCCTCTTTCTGAACTTTATACACCAAGTAAGCCAAATGCTCGCCAGAATTAGGAGTCCTATGACTTATTCCTTTGGGAGAAAAGCATCTAAAGATGCCAGCATTCCGAAACTAGTTAATCCATCCAGATCTAAGATTCTGTGGCCTCTGATCAAAGAAACACTATGGTCTTGAAGTATCACAAGCTGGCATCTCCAGATGTTTTGATGAAGGAACTATTAATGCTGGTCAGTTTGCTCTCAATTCCCCAGGAGGTCACTCAGAAGGTCTGGTATGGTGCCATTTATTTGTCATTACTGGAGATGATGCTGTTGGCCTCAACTGTTTCGTCCCTGGCTCTGTCTTCTTGGGTGTAGGCTAATTGCAAACGAGCCACTTTTGGTCCAGGATTTGGTTGCCACCAGTGTTTGTCAGCTTGCTGGCTTTCATCTACGCTTTCCTTTCCATTCTTGCAATTACAGCTGAGAGTCCCAGCTACGGATTATTCTACCTGCTCACCATCTCCTTGTTACTTTGCTCATTCTGAATGTGATGGCTGGTTACCAAAATATAAAGGTGGATATGGCTTGGCCTCGGCTTTATGCAAAAACATACAAGCAATTATCTTAGCTTACAGCTGACTCTTCTGAAGCATTTGCTGTGTGGTAGGCATGGTACAAATCTCCTGGCGTGGACTGTCCGATGATTCTCACAACAGCCTTGTGAGACAGGAACTATTATTTTGTACTTATGGCTCAAATAAGAAAATGGAAGCACCACAAAGGGAAAGTACATGCATCTAGGAAGAAGTGGAAGGGTAGGCATTGAAGACAGGCCGTCAAGCCGAGCACCCCACAGCACAGCTTCTACAAATGAACAATTACATCAAGTGCAGAGTCGCAAAGTGCAGAGTTGCCACAGAGATATACACAGGAGCGAAAGGAAGAGAAGTTTCACAGACGGTTACAAAGGGGAAAAGGATAAAGTTCTACTGTGCCGAGTGGCACTGGTGGAGACCCAGGACTATATATTTAAAGATCAGAGGTGACCACCAAAGCAGAAGAATATTTTTCTCCTTGATTTGGCATCTTCCAGGGAGGAATATGAAGATGTGAGGAACAATGGAGGCGGGCCTGGAAAGAGGAGGCAAGTCACAGAGCTGAGGGAAAGCAGAAAGGAGAAAGAACCAGAGATTCACAGGGAAAAATCAGAGGGAGAGAGTTCCCAGAGCCTATTGAATTTTGTAATTGGGTCTTCATTATTAATCACAAAAGCTATTATGTTCTTTATGCCAAGCAAAGATCACACATGATCCCATTTCATCCTCACAACTACCCTTGAAGTATGTGTCATTATCTGCAGAACAGTTCTGGGGGCGGCTGCAGGCAAAATCCGAACCGCAAGGGGCTGAGAAATGGCCGAGTGGGGAGGATGTAGTCTTCTGCCTCTGTGATAAATTGGGAATAAAAAGAGCCCCTATTAGAGGCTAGTCAGTGTGCAGGTCACTTCAGCACTGCTTTCCAATTTCATCCAAACAAAACTCTAAAAGGGATGTGTCCTTATTCTCCCTCAAAGAACAACTGGGATGTGGAAGCCCAATGTGATCCAGGAGCCGATCTTCCTTGCGATAAGCACGACTCCACTCCCACAGAGGGGACAGATAGCTGTTACAGACATTTGCTGCAGGATTTACTCCACCAGGCCAGGCTCCCTGCTGAGAATATTTATAGAATTGTCACATTGAAAAGCCAGTTTATTTATTTTAAGTTTATTTATTTTGACAGAGAGAGAGAGAGAGAGAGCGAGGGAAGGGTGGAGAGAGAGAGAGAGAGAGAGAGAGAGAGAGGATCCTAAGCAGGCTCCAGGCTGTCAGCGCTCAGCCGTTAGCACTGAGCCCAATGAGGGGCTCAAACTCACAAACTGTGAGATCATGACCTGGGCTGAAACCAAGAGTCTGACACTTAACCTACTGGGCCACCAAGGTGCTCCTGGAAAGTCCATTTAAATGTTAATTTTATTATTAACAATGTGGTGAGTAAGGGCCAGGAGTCAGACTCTCTGAGTTAGGAGCTCAGCGGTGCCATCCATCTGGGAGTCCCCCTTTCCCTCAGTTTCCCCATCTGTAAAATGGGCTTCCTTGTGAAAATTCTTTAAAGATAATGCAGGTGAGGGGTGCCTGCCTGGTTCAGTTGGTAGAGCTTGCAGCTCTTGATCTCAGGGTTGTGAGTTTGAGTCCCGCACTGAGAGTAGAGATTGCTTTAAAAAAAAAAAAAAAGAAAAATACATGCGCAGTATAAAGAACAATGGAGAAGTATGGGATAAAATGTTAATAGTTCAACCTCCATTTTACAGCTGAGTAAAGAGAGAGTGAGGAAAGATCTCAGTATGAGTAACCCCAGCAGTTTGCTCTGGACTCCTGGATCTCCCAGAAGTCCAGTGTTTCCTCATCACCCACCTCCCTGCAGAGAAACCCCTTAAAGGGGAGTGAGGTGGTGTAGTGCGTGTTGTTGTGTGTTTACTCGTTTGTTTATAAGAGGCACTGACTCACACATCTCTTTCTTCTGGGGGGAGATGCAGAGGACGGGGAAGAGAAGGAAGAGCAGGAGCTACGACGGGCAAGGCCTCAGACAGACCGGAAGGGGTGGCAACCAGACACAGGTGCAGCGCCCACAACTTAGATAAGGAGCAGCTCAGAAAAGGAAGCAAGGATGGTGTTCCCATCTTGATTTTTCCGATATCAGAGGAAAAAGAAACCAGGAGGAAGTTTATTTTCCTCTGTCCTCCTGAAGGCCGGGACACAACCAGTATTCTTGAGAAGATTTAAAAAAATACTCTGTCCGTCCTACCCTTTCTTCCTAGATCTCTTTGCCCCCTCCTCTCCCGACCACCCCACCCCTACTTCCTCTTCTCTCTCTCCCCCTGCTGGTTTGCTGGTTACTTCCCCCTTCCCTTCTCTCTCAGCTATAGCAGGGTCCAAGCTGCCTGCGAGGGACGGGGCGAGATTGGCTGCGGACTGTACAGATCAGCCGAGGAACGAAGTAGCCTCTCTCTCTCTCTCTCTCTCCACACACACACACACACACACACACACACACACACACACACACACACACACGCTCAAAACTCGGACCTGCCGCACTACGGCTGCTCCAACCCCTGGAAAAGGCAAAGGCAAGGGAGCGCCCTCCGGACCGCTGCGCGCACCCGGCTCGGGCAGTGCGCCCGACGCAGCGCTGGTGCTTCCCCAGCGCGGCCGCTTAGGCCGGCTGTTCTGGAAGATAAAGAGGGGAGGGAGGACAGAGCCAGAGCCTGAGGACACCCGGGCCACACACGCCGCGACGTAAGCTCCCCCTCGGCGCACAAGTGAGGACGGCTCCCGCAGCGCCCTGCCCTGGTGAGGTCCGCGCCGCCGCCCGGGAAGAGCCCACCTGCCGGTGCGAGAGCAGCCAGTGCGGAAAGCGCGACCTGTCGGGGGCCTGGCCACGCAGTGCCTGTGGCTCCGGGCGCCCTCGCCCCGGCTCATCTGAAGTTCAGCCCTCGGCTCTGTCGCGGGCCCCTCGCGCCCTCGGCGGGTCCCCCCGCCACGCGGGGAGCGGACGCGCGGCGCCGGGACCTCGCTATGGCCGGGGCGCTCGGGCTGCTCTGCCTGTGGCTGGGCTGCTTCTGCGTGAGCCCGGCCCGGGGGGAGAGGCCGAAGCAGAACTTTCCGGAGCTCCACAGGGCCGTGCCGGGAGACCGCCCGGCAGGTGGGGGCCTCGGCCCGGTGCTGCCGCCGCACGACAAGGTGTCGGAGCACATGCTGCGGCTCTATGACAGGTACCGCGGCGGCGGCAAGCCCGAGGCGGGACGCACGCAGGGGCCCTCCGAGCGCGGCTCTCAGCCCCTGCGCCCCCCGCCGCTGCGCGAAGGCAACACGGTTCGCAGCTTTCGAGCCGGAGCAGCAGGTGAGTGCCCGCCGTCCCGCCGCAGGTTTCTCCCGGGATCCCCCACCCCCACCCCCACACACTGCCCCGCAGCTCCGCGTCTGCTCTCCGCTCTCTAATGCTACCTGGAGACCTTCCCTCACCCTCCGCGGCCGCCCGCTGAGCCCCTCGGTCCCCTCACACCCCGCGTTTCGCCAGCTACGAATCTCAGTTTTAGATCCTGACTTAAGAGGGACATCTGGAGAGAAGAAAGGCGCTGAGCAGCCGAGTGGGTCGCGGTGGGCTGGAGGAAGTGGCTGGGAAAGGGTGAGGGGCTGTCCCCTGCCCGGCGGAGCCCTCCCGCGCTGGGCGTCTGCAGCGCTCCTGGGGTCCCTCGTCCGGATGTTTCCTAAGCCAGCCAGCGGGAGTTCCCCAGGACTGGGCTTTAGCCGTGTTTACCTAAAGGCAGATGTCATTTTATGCCAACCTGAGGCACCAGAGAGGAAAGTCACACTTGAACTAGACGCGTTCCCTCGCCTTTTAGACAGTGGCTTTTCCAGACCTTGCACCCGCTCTTGACTCGTGTTCTCTGTGTTACTGTATTTGACACTTTCTGTTTGATAGTCCCTTGGTGGCAAACAACTGCACCAGGTGGTCGAGTGTTTGGATTACTTAAAACCCATCTGGGCAAACAGGGGTTGTACCTAGTCCACCCTGGGAGGAGTGGGGGGTGGGGAACGCGCGGTGGACATCGGTGGAGGTAAACACCTCTTGGAATCTGCCGATGAAAATCTGCTCATCCCATTTTTCAACACACAGATCACTGCGGAGCGAAATTCATGGTTTAACAAGGCTTCTCCTGTCCCCTGTGGTAAAGCGAATAACTTATGCTAACAGCCTGCCTCCCTTGTGCTAACAGCTTGAGGGAAAGTTTCCTGGACACCGACTTGGTTTATATGCTTTGAAGACACATCAGGCTTCCCCCCTGCCCCCCACATTCACGATAAAGGGAAATGTAACTGCAAACCCTGTCTTCAGTGAACCGTTGAAAAATAGCCAAGAATCTTCAAGTTAGGAGGCCTTGCCTCATGCTCTCTCCCTTCTGTCAGGATCGCTAGAAAGAAATCTCCCAAAGCCTTGATATGTAGGACTCCTGGAATAAAGGAAAACCAAAGCATCCATCAAGGAAAGCCCTCGGCTGACACTGTAAATACACTCTAGAGCTCCTAGGCATGATGACATTTACAATAAATGTGAATTATGCTTTCTAATGGAGGAGTCTTTAGAGTCTGAGCTGAACCAGATTTTACTTTCTTCTTCAAACCATGAACATAATGGGTAGAGGGCCTCCCTTGCCTCAGCATGCCAGCCACTTGAGGAGCCTGTCCTCACAGCTGACCACACCAGGGAATGCCCTGTTTATTTCAGTGCAACCCTGAGAGCAGAGCCCAGTGAAGGAGCAGTGAGAGAACAACAGGAATTGGAAAGAAGTTGGGTGCGCAAGGCAGGTGGCAGTAAATGAAGATACTCAAGTGGCTCTTCTCTTGATAGTCATTCTGTGTGTGTGCGATATTCCTAGGGAGTAGCCAGAGCACCCAAGAGACAAATAGTATTTTTTTCTGTCAACAAGTTTCATTTTTAGTATGAATCACAGGGTTTAGGGGTGGAATGTGAATTTGTTTCGTTCACACCTATTGCGTAGTTGTTTGTATGTTTGTTTTAGGCTGAGTGAACCACGTGTGGGAGAGGGCTAAGGATTTGAATAACTCAGGCTCCATGGACTTCTGGGCTTCGGCTCATTCTGTGCGTTATAATTTCAGTGTCCCTTATCAGCCTCACCGGTCTTATACCATCAATTGATAAACTCTGATGCGGAGGCCAGAAGTTCCCTTGAAATGATGAATTGCAGCTTGAAGCATATATACAAGGCTGTGTGCCCTGATAAGAAAAGTAATCCGTTTAGCATCCTAGAGACTGTCTTAATGACTTATTCATCAAACATAGACACTGGTTTTTGTGGAAGCTTAAGTGTCATGTTACCGCATTGGAGACTCCTGGAGAGGTGGTCCGCGTTGGACCCCTTCCAAGAGTGTTTAGTTACTAACACACTAAAAAGACCTTATTATAAGGCAATTCTGGCTCTAAGAAGGCAGGACTTCGGGGCGGTGCTAAGGCTTTTTATGTGTGTCCCTCTCCTTTATCCATATCAACATTTCCATAACACTCTTTGTCTTCTGACCTATGTTCGGATATAGGTGAAAGATGCTGTCTGCTTTAATAAATCAGATATGTTTTCCAGCCCATGGTGTTTACGTTTCCCAGCATATGGGCTTCTCCATAGCAACGATGTTACAAATTTTAGTGGAAGGTCAGGTGGTGTGCTGTGTGTATGGCGTAGCTGCTGATCAGGCAGACTTTCCAAGTGCTTATCCAGACTGAGTTATAGCCTCAGAGCCCTATTTGCTCCTTGGAACATACCTGATTAAAATTATTTATTGTTCTAAACCTAGAATATCTTTGGTTGAAATGTAGCTGCTGTGGTATCCCTCTGATTACTTTCTACTTAAACCATTACTTGATGGTGGGTGGCATCCATCCTAAATACACTTTCTGCTAACCCCTTTTCTCTTCCCTCAATGCTATGCAGCGGGTGTGCCAAAACCGTAAGTTTGGAACACTCATAAGTCTTTTTGTGATGTGTAAGGGTTTACATAAAGATCGGCTTTATCTTTTCCTTTGTAAGAAGTAATTTACAAAACTATTGACGACAGAGAAGTTTAGATTTATAAAAATACACCATTCTTGCAGGGATACCAGAGGCATATGCCATCAGCTTTTATTTTAACCTTAGTCTAAGTTGTCCTTGGTTACTGTGTATAAAAAGAAGAATATTTTACAGAAGGTTTTCTCCTGGCCTGACTCTTCAGGGTACACACTTTGTGTATCACTGGTTTCGCATGATTCCCATAGCCACGTACTCTTATTTTTCTTCCTCACAAGTTTAACTTCTTTAGGAAAAGCGATTAAAGCACACATGTTCTTATGAGGAAAGTATCATTATTTCAATTCATGAAATATAACTACAAAAAGATGACATTTCAGTGACTGCGTGTCACCTGTTTTAAAAAAAAATCACACAGACTTCATAGATCAAAGAAAATTGAGGTAATCCGGACCCAAAAGTGAATATTTTCCTTCAATGAGAAAGGGAGTGTCTTTCCTACTATGACCAAAACCATTTAAAAGTAAAGGATTATGGATTATCATTTGATGTGTTTCTGAAGTGCAAGGCTAAAATGTATGGATTTGGGAAAGATAGAGTTCAGGGCAGATGGAGCATTCCAATAGGGATCATCCTTGTAAAATCCAGTGGTAGAACATCATGTTTAATGGGCTTAATGGCAAGGGAATATAATAACTTTATAAAACTACAGTTACCTTAAAGTTTCTGGCACCTAGAAACGAGGCTTGAAATTAAAGAGCACTCACACAAAAAAGATAATGTTTGTATTCAAAGGACAATAGTATATCTGGAGCAGGGGATGTTGATATGCGGCTGCTTTGAATTACATACTACTTTGAATATATGACAGGCCTTAATGAAGTTTCTACTGTAATGGGCAAGACAGCTTTACAATCTCTGACATTTGAAAATCCATAATACCATGAATTCTTGATTATCCATACTAATGGAAAAGAGAAAGAGAATGAAAAAAATTATTTAAATCTGGCTTTTTAAGTATAGTTAGACCCGCTCAAAGAGACCATGAGGGTCAGTGACAAAAAAATCCCCTAAGTAGGTTATTCAATCAGGAAATATTTACACATTAAAAATATATACATAACTAAGAATATATTAAGGCGATCACATGTAACTTATCTAAGCAGTGGGAATTTAGGACCACTTGGCTGACCCAGTTCAGATTTCTATAAAATTAAATTGGGACATGAGTATCAAATTTGCCCTTAAGCTTTTTGGAATTATACATGTTTATATGTAGAAGAGGCTTTATAGAAAGCAAGTTCATACCCCCTTACATAGAAGAAGAAATGGATGTCATGATGTATTTACCAGACAATTTTTCAAACATACTGAGCTCATCTCAAAACCTATTATTTCTAATAACCCAGTCTAAATTTGTAGGAGAAACTCCTGTGGAAGAGGTCTTTGGAAGATGTTAACGGGTGTTATGTAAAACTGGGTCCCATGGCCAAATCAGTTTGGAAAAACTGATCATTTTTATTTGCGATGGGAACTGTCAGGGCCTTCAAATGATAATGAGTCCTCCTAAGAGTGGATCATTTTCTCCCTGAGAGAGAATTTTAGAGAATTATGGCCCTAAGATATCTAGTTGGAGAAACACTGGTTCAGACACTTCCTAATTTCTCAGAAAAGGAAGATACACAAAATTCAGGTAAATATCACAGCTGAAAACTGTCTCATTTCTCATTTCCATTTAGTACCTATCTCAGGAGGTTAACTCACATTGTTGCTTTTTGGACTTGGGTCCAATCGGCATTGTATCATCTTCCTGCTTTCATGTTTTAAACTTCTCTGAATGTAATTGTAGAGTCTTACTGTTATTAAATTTACAATTTCCCTGTTTCTTTATGAATTCTCCTTCATTGATTTCTTCTCTGGACTTAATATTCACTAGTTCACAGCTGTATGATGCTTTTAAAAGAAAAACTACTTTATTTGTGGAAAAATTCACTGGAGAATACACACATCACTTTGTTTAAATATATCACCATTAATAACTTGGTGAAAGACACTAAAAAAAAAAAACAGATACACTCAAGACACCTATCAAATCCCTTATATAATTACCAATGTTTGTTGTATTTATTAGACATAATAAAACCCGTACCTATCAAAAAGCCTAGTGAAAAATATTGTGGAAGTTTGCATATACTTCCTATTTGCCAGCCAGGAGTTTTATTTTTGCTGCAACATCAGAAATTTTCTCTCCAAATTTGGATGGTTCTCCCATCTATTCAGTTTGTATATCCTAGCAATCGGTATCTTAATAACTTAATTT